CATAGGTTTGCATTGTTTACTGTGTGTACAGTGTTTACTGTGTTAAAAAAAACACTGCAATATCAGTAAATTGAATTATTTCGGACAATGAAAAGTCTTTGTTAGTAATTACTAGTGCTTTATAATAATTAATTAACTGTAGGTTTTGAGTTTAACTTTTTCAGCGTAACCACTAATGTAAAAAATATTACTCGTATAGATATATGTTATTCACTTTGATGCAAAACTTAAATAAATAAGTTGCTAAAACAACAAAATAAGTTTGTTTAAAAAATACAATTTGCGGCTAACATATTTAAACGCTTTAAATCAACAACTTAAAATTGTTATACCAATATAGGTACTTGCGAATTAAAAATTAAATTGGAGAAACGATATTTAAAATAGTTTTTCGGTGCAGCACATATCTCTCTAAATAACATAAGCAGCAAACTTACTGTTGCTCTAGTATAGTAGATATTCTACTTCCTCGGTGACTTTACTCAAACTTTAAATCCGATAATTCATATTTTATTTAGCGTTTTAAATTTTGTATTTTGAGTATACTATTAAATAATTTTTACTTTTAAAATTAATTTTAATACCATATATTAGATTTTAACCACATTGATTTACATTATTATATATTAGCGTTTGCAGTAGTACGACCACTACTACCACCACAACCACCACAACCAGCACCACCGCCACCACCACCACCGGCGAGTAAGTTTTTAAGACTTAAATAAAACGTATATAGGTTATAAAAAAGTAATTCATTATGCAATTTCATCTTTCTTTTTCAAAACCACTGTAAGTTGAAAGATTGTATAAGTTTTTGTGAGTTGCAAAGATACTAGCAGTTTTAAAACTATTTTCAATAAAACTGAAAATTGTTAAATTATTATAGTACCTTTTTTTTTAAAAACGAATTTTTTATACATGTCTTATATTTTAAATTAACATTTATTCCGAAATTCAAAGAATGGATACTAGTAAATCCTAAGATTTAACTTAAAATGAAACCACCTTGTACTTAATACATTTATAAAGAAGCCTATCTTAATTTGAATTAAAATCCAAGTGTTTGCTAATTATAGTTAAACGATTTTTTTACATAATATTTTAATATATTTATTTTTTTTAGATCCATGAAGTATCCATCATCTGTTTCACATTCCGAAAATATATATGCTTACTAATACGTGTATATTGTAAAACGTTCATCTTTGTTTATCATAATTTATTGTGTTTCAACCTTCCGATTTTTCCAATAACAATGTATTCCAAATTCCATATTTTGTTGCCAATCATATTAAATATCTATTACATATACCTGTCTACCAATAAAAATAATATTCACCCGTTTAAGTAAATTTGTATTTTATTAATAAAGAGAGTGATTATCACCTTTTTCCTCGTCCCAGAATGTATTGCATTTAAATAGTTGTTCCATTTTAAAACTCACATTTAAAAATGTATTTTTATTTAGTTAACATAACAGAATATGTTAATAAAAAGTAATTTGTTTTCGGGGAACAACAAATTATATCGGTACCAACTAAACTGTGATATCCATGATTCGAGCCTAATTCTGAAAATAAATATGATTACTTATTTGTGTATACTTGGATGTATATTGGAAAATGTTCATCTTTGCTTATCATAATTGGTTTTTAACCTTCAGATTATTCTAATAACAATCCATTCCAAATTACACATTTTGTAACCTATCAAATACGGGGTAATTTTTTTTATCATGGGCCAGGCAATATCCCATTATGTTTAATTAGGTAATAATTAAAATTTTTTTTTTTCATAATGTTCTATTATAATATGATCTCAATTTCACCCAATTTTTGTTTGTTTTACACCCTTTACAAACTAGTTTTTTTGACAGCAACGTTACAAAAACTTGTTTAATGTAACCAAATAAAATCCACCTTGACCAGATGTCTATTTATTTTCTATTGACAACCACTGTCTTTTATTTTACCGTACTCTGAACGCGTAAAACTATAATAGCTTTGATAACTGGTATCCATTTTTCAATAATTATTTGATTTATTTTTCGTAGTACATTTATAATTGAAGTTTTAAATTTTTGTACGAGAAAATCTTTGTAAGAAAATTTGTTTTAAAAATATAAGTTTTTGAATTTGGTATTATAAAACCTTAAAATATAGTTGATAAGGTGGATATCGATAGAAAATGCACAGGCGTGGAGGCCTTTAGTCAAGGTGGATTTTGTTTGGTTACATTAAACAAGTTAAGTGTAGTAATTCTCGTAACATAAGAACTCAAAGTAAATTAAAAATAGACTTTAGAGAAACAAAATAAAAAAACAAGTGTCATCTTTATTCTTTCCCTTAAAGATAATATACTGCAACATGATAATATCTTGTGACCTTCCTCTTTACGAAGCTAAACTATCAGCAGACGTTTGTCTAAATTGTTTGTTTAGTTATTCGGATAGTTTTTTGTTGTTCCAAATAATTTGACTTTAATTATTATATTTTCTGGTCAGGTGGCACTACTGAGAGCCTTCCTATTCACACATTATGTCATTGCATAGTTGTCATCAGACTTGCTGATTATACATATTTTGTATAGATTGTAAATAAAGAAAATATATTTTTAATAAAAAAAAAAAATTATTACTATTGTTTTTTTGAAGAGCTTTTTATTTTTTTAAATTATTAGCATATAAACGGTTACAAAAATACATGGATTTTTTGTTAGTTGTTAAAAATAATTGTAAAAATATAAACTAAGTTAGAGGTTAAATGGTAGAAATGGTTTTAGAATTTTTCTTTTAACGTATTAGACTTGTTCTATAAATTAATTTACAAAATAATGTTTGAATTTGTACTATATTTTTCTAAGAATATAGCGAATATAAATTTTGTATAAAAACCAATAACAATACTTACAAAAATATTTTGTTACGTATAACTTGTTTTTTGGGAAACACATTTTTTTTGTTGTGTTCAAATTGTAAACATAAATTTGTCGTTAGCTTTTGTGTAAACAAAAGATTTAACTATCTATCTTTTAGAAGGATTTCTATAGGTATATACTGAATCTGGTGTGCACAAATTTCTGGCTACGTTACTCGATACGACTTACTTGTTATGGATAGTAACAATTGTTTATATTTTCCTATAAATCCTATAGTACATAAAAAATATTTTTCAAACTATATGCGTTATAGCTATAGTAAACCTTATCTCTATAGATCCCACATCATCATGCCACGACTCCACAACAGTAGCCTTAAATGTTAATTATATTTATACCTCACCCTCTTCCCACCATCACGGGTGATGATATATTTTTTTTTTATAGATGTAATTTTACCTTTTAGTTGAAAATATCGTGCGCGTGTATTGTTCAAATAATAACATGTTTTTATATTAAACTAAAAAAATATGTGTTATACTCATGTACAAATACATACATAGGTTTTGAAAAAAAAAGATATGTGTAACGTTCTGATAATTTAGGCTTAACTAATTTTGATATTGCAAAATAAAACTCAATTAAAAAATCCACAAGCTCAAACTGGAAGCATTTAGTTTCGATATGTACTTGAGTGTTGGAACTATTTATTTTCTTGTAACATAGAACTCTGGTTTTACAATAATATAATTACAGTCATAAAACTCAAACGTTTATATACTTAAAAAAACTGGACGTCGTTTTTTGGACGTCCATACTTGTATACATAAAACAAGATTGACCTATGAATGCGTTAAAACTTTCGTGGATTGATATATCAACTGAGTGAGTTTCGGATGTATCCATGTCGAATGTTTGACGTGGATAAATCCGAAACTCACTCAGTTGAAGATTGACCATTTTTTTAAAATAGCAAAAAATGTTTTAAAATTCTACAAAAACTACTAATAAAAATATATTATTGTTTTTTTTTTTGGAAAACCAGTTGTTTTTTTAAATATTGTATTTGATTATTTGTGTTCTTAATATGTTAGATCTATTTATTTTCTTGCATAGTAGAACCCTGATTTTACAATAATTATTGTTGAATTTTTAAATAGTATTATCCAATACTTATTATACGTCATACCGAACTCAACTAATACATTTAAGGTCAAAGTTTCAACTAACAGACAAATAAAAATATTTAAATGTCCTTGTAATGCA